GTCCCTGCCTAGAGCACTGGTGATATGCTTGATGGGCCTGGTTCATACTGTGAGTGCGATGCCGTCGCTGGGCACGGTAGCAGGGTCGCTTGCAGCGAATCCTCTTTTTCAGGTGACTGGCGGCAGCGCTGCCGATGTGGAGGTGGCCAGAGTGCACTGCCTGGGTCGGAGCGGCGGCGGCAGTGCCGTGGGCCGCGGCAATGGACGCGGAGGGCGAGCCGCGGACGCGCGGGTGGTCGATGCCTCGTCCCACGTCCGACCTCCTGCTCGAAACGTCGACGGACGTAGCGCCCCGAGCGGGGAGGCAGCCGCGGCCCAGGCGAGACCGCGGTCGTCCGACTCCAGGCCCAGACACGATGAGGCAAGTGTTGGGCCAAGCCGAGGTGCAGGAGGCCCAGCGGCCGAGGGCCGTGGCAATGGGCGAGCTAAGCGAGCCGCGGACGCGCGGGTGGTCGATGCCTCGCTCCTCGCCCCTGGGCTCACTCGGGCCGTCGACGGACGGAGCGCAGCCCCGAGTGGGGCCCTGGCCACGCGGCCGGCTGGCGTGGGCGGCGAGCACTGCCAGGGTCGGAGCGGCGGCGACAGTGCCAAGGGCCGTGGCAAGGGACGGGGAGGACGAGCCGCGGACGCGCGGGTGGTCGTTGCCTCGTCCCACGCCCAGCCTCCCGCTCGAGACGTCGACGGACGTAGCGCCCCGAGCGGGAAGGCAGCCGCGGCCCAGGCGAGTCCGCAGCCGCTCGACTCCAGGCACAGACGTGATGCTGCCCAGGTGGGGCCAGGCCATGGCGAGGGTGGCCTTGCGGTCCAAGGCGGTGGCAAGGGGCGTGCTAGGCGAGCCGCGGACGCGCGGGTGGTCGATGCCTCGCCTCACGCCCCAGGGCCCACTCGGGCCGTCGACGGACGGAGCGCAGCCCCGAGGGGGACCGATGCCACGGAGCAGGCTGGCCACAAGGGCAGCATCGTGACGCTGAATTGCTCGTCCGGGAAGCAGCTGCTCGAGTACATGGTGCACTGCAGTCACACAGTGGTCGCGGTGCAGGAACATCACGTTGCTCATGATGACCTGGCAGACGCACAGCATCGGTTGCTGGACGCGGGCTGGCAAGGCACATGGGCAGCGGCCAACCACACAGTCAACGGTGGCACGCAGGCAGGGCTAGCTGTGTTGGCCAGGCCGAACGTCATGATTACGCGCGGGCCGTGCATGAACGGACAGACCGTGCTGGCTGGCGGTCGAGCTTTGCCCGCTCAAGTACATTGGGGAGTCCCAGGAGGAGTGGTACTGGTCTCAGTGTATCTTTACGTCAATGAAGGTTGGTCTGACAATAATCTACACATCAGGCAGGAGGTCAGTTGCTATCTGGAAAGATTGAATCATGCAGGCTACGATTGGATTGTGGCAGGAGATTTCAACATCGAAGCATCCCAGTTCGGCGATATGCGATGGCTACACGGGCTTGGTGGTATGCTTCGGGCTCCAGCGGCGACCACATGCAGACAGGCTATGCCTGGTAGTTGCATCGACTATTTCCTCACGTCGTCTAACTTGATGACACGAGTAGAGCAGCCGTGTGTTCAGGAGGCGGCAACCACTTTTCCGCACTTGCCAGTGTATATGCATATCAGTGGCAAGGACATCCAGTTGTTTCATCGTGAGCTGCGTGGGCCGCGTGCCGTGCCCAAGCAACCGAAGCCAGGGTGCGCGAGGTTTCCATTGTTGGCACGGAGTTGCACGTATTATAGATGCCGCGTGTGACGACAGCAGTTTGCAGGTGACATGGGATGCTGTGCTGAGCCAAATTGAATTAGAGCTGCTTGCCAGACATGACGTCGTTGGCACCAAGGCTGAGCCGTTCGTTGGAGCATGTGGCCCAGTAGAGTTTGAGATTGTCAAGCTGCAGTGGCAACCACAGCAGAAGCGTTCATACTTGTCAAAAGCAGCCAATGCGTGGTGCGTTGCAGCCAGATGGGCGCGGCACATGCGTAGGGCGAAAGAAGCTATCATTAATGTCACGGCGAAGGTTAGTCTGCAGCAAGAGACAGGGGCGGCAGACACGGCCCTCCTGCACAAGCTGTCGAGTTTGACGATTGAGCTAGGCCGCTTTTTGGCGAAGGTGCTAACTGAGACGGCCGTGCTCAGCGAGCTCGACAGCTGGGCGTCTGACTTGTTTCTGATGGGAATGGAGTCCCTTGTTCACACAGAAGTAGATGCAGTGCTGGATGCAATCGAGGCCAAAGCAACGGAGCTTGCGGAGGCACACAGTCAGAAGACCGCCAAAGCCTGGAGGGACTGGGCGGCAGCCAGCTTTTCTAACGGCGCGCGTTTCGCGCATAGGCACACGAAAGGGAGAGCGTTGCAGGAAGCGGTTAATGCTAATGTGACTGCTCGCACGCCCTCCCAGCCGTATCAGCTAGCCGATAAGGCCATGAGGGACTGGGAAGAGATTTGGTCGATGCACGATGCCGCAGTCCCTCAGTTGCCAGCAGAGGCGAAGGACTGGGAAGAGCTCCCACCTTTGACCTTGCAGGACTTGCAACGCGCCATTCTTCAGTTTCCATGGGCGACGGGAGTCGGCCAGTTCAGTTTTGCTCCTCGCAGATTAATCTTTCTGAGCAGCCCAGGCCTGGAGGCCTTAGCGAAGCTGTTCATGAAGTGTGAAAGCCTCTTGATCTGGCCTTCGGACAGACTGCTGACGCAGCTCGTTCGCCTCCCCAAGGCGTCGGGAGGATGCAGGCTGATAGCGCTCGTGAACACGCTCCTGAGAGTCTGGTGCAGGGCCCGCAGGCCCATCGCGGCCGCCTGGGAGGTTGAGCATGACCTGGATTGTTTCTGGGGGACGGGAGCTGGTAGGTCGAGCTCGGACAGCGCGTTTTCCCTGAATCTTGAGGCTGAGATTGCGCACGAGTTAGGAGAGGACAGCCTCACAGTTTTTTATCGATATGTTGAAATGCTATGAGACTGTCATTTTGCAGAGCCTGCTTCGCGAGGCCAAGCTGAATCGTTTCCCGATGAGATTAGCGTGGATGACGATTCAAACGTATATGCAACCTCGTTGCCTGCGTGCTTTTGCCTCCCTGTCAGTACCAGTGCAGTCTAATCAGGGTATCCTAGCAGGCTGCTCTTTGGCCACTACAATGCTGCGGGTCCTGCTGCATAGAAGCTTGCAGGATTGCATGACTATATACCCCACGGTCAAGCCGCGCGCGCTGATCGACGATGTTAGCTCCCACTGGTCAGGAGAGCGTGCCAGGGAGGGAGAGAGCGTCGGCCAGGCAAGAGACTTGGCCAATGCAGTACACAGTTTTTGCCTCAGTGTGAGGCCGCTCGGGTTAGTCGTCCAGCCGAGCAAGTCAGGTTTTGTTGCGAACACGAGCCGAGGCCGAGATACTTTCGCTCGATTGGTTGTGCCTCTTCGTATGCGAGCGAAGCGAGCGATGCGTAATCTAGGGCGCGAGATGCACGGCACCAGAGTCTTGCGTGTGCAAGAAAAGTTGCGTCTTAAGAATCCCAAGGCTCGTATGCGCAAGGTGTGGGGCCTGAAGCACGCCGCTGGGGAGGCCGTGAAATCCTTGTGGAGGACGGGGCTACTCCCAGCTGGCGGCCACGGCGCTGGAGTGTCAGGGATATCTGACACAGCGATCCGCGAGCTTCGGACGTATGCTGGATGCATGTGCGGGGCCAAGCCCAAGGCGTCGCTCACCCTGTTTTTAGCTACACAGCGTGACGACAGGTTCGACCCTATTTTTGATGCGACGGTTCCGTTGGTTGTCAGGTTTGCCTCGTTCATCTGGGACAATAGGGTCGCGCCTGGACGGCTCCGCAGAGCCTGGGAAGCGGTCAAGGCGAAGCTTGACCAACGCATCTCGTGGTCCAGAGCCCGTGGCCCCATCGCCTCTGTTTGGGTCACGCTCCTGCGCGTGGGTTGGACGATGTTTTCTCCAACAGTGCTTGTGGACGATCGAGGTCGCCACGTAGATTTAGTAAGGCAGTGTCCAGGTGATGTGAAAGCTTTCCTGGAGGAAAGCATTCGCCGCTGGCAAGTAGATAGGATCCTGCAGCACCTGCCCAACAGCCTTGGAGAGAGCTGCTGGAGGAGGGGAATGAGGAAATCAGTGTTTGCTGTAAGGGACGTTGCGAGGCGAGGCGCCTTGCGGACGCTCTGGTCGTCAGGGGTTTGGACCCCCGAGAGGCTGCACAGCATAGGGCTCCGCAATTCCCCGCAGTGTTTTGTATGCAAGCAGGCAAAAGGCAAGGAGTCCCACCAATGGTTTGAGTGCGACGCCATGCTAGACGGGTTGGACGTGCCTGTTCCAGATTACGTCTTCGAGCTGAGGAAGGATATCAAGGCCAGGAATAATTCGCAATCTGGAGCGGATCAATTTTATCTCAGCTTCGGATTGCCGCCCGAGCCACCAGCACTGTCGCCTCCGAACGATGAGTACCCTGTGTTGGGATGGGGGGACTGGCGCGGGCGATGGGGGCGGAGGGTGTACACCGACGGAAGCGGCCAAGCGTCGTCGATCCCAGAGCTGGCCCGATGCGGCTGGTCCGTGGTCGAGGTTGACGAGGCTGGCAACGTGTTGCGTGCATTTTTTGGCGCGCTACCAGGAGCTGTGCAGACAGTGCCACGTGCGGAGCACTACGCAGCGCTCAAAGCAGTAGAAGTTGCGCAACAGCCTGCTATCATAGTGTCCGATCACCTGAATCTGGTGCGTGAAGGGTGCGCCTGGTCGGCGGCCGCTGCCAATTCTAGTGGCCGCCACGCGGCTGTGTGGGAGAAAATACGTCGGCACTGTCCCGAGGCTCCTCCTACTTTCGAGTGGGTCCCTGCGCACAGTGAGCTCTCGGAGGTTCTGGAGGCCCCCGAGTGTGACTTTGTCCGTTTCGTTGCTAACGAGTGGGCTGACTTCTTTGCCAAGCGCGGGGCCCAGGTGCATTCAACGGGCCAGACAATGCAGGATTATTTTAAGCAGGCCATGAAGGCGGCCAAAGATCACTCGCAAGTTTTTGCCTGGATGGCCCAAGCGGTCGCCAAAAAGAATGCTGAGCTCCAACCTAGGGAAGTCGTGCCGTCTCAGGTTTGCCGAGACGTCGCCGCCCCACAGGTTGCGCTTGACTCGCATGAGTTTCGTTTCTGTGAGAGGCTGTCTGAACACAGGTGCCTGAAGTGCAACAGGTTTGCTAGGACGACCGAATCCTTGAAGGCCCTTCGAGCGAAGCGATGCGAGCCCACGGACCTTGCGAGAGCGATGGCGACGCGTTATTTTGCCCTCACCCCCGAAGTTTATCGGCACGCCTCGCGCGCGGTGGACGTCGCCGTGCGTGCTGCTGGCCTTGATGAAGGCCTAGGGCCCTCTGGAGGCCCATGCGAGGGTGATGGAGTGGGGGCGGACGTCGTCGCCGTCGGGGTCGATCGGGAGGTGGAATTGTACTCGGAGCTCGGCCACGGGATGGAGCGATTTGGCTCCACGGTCATCTGCCTCGGTTGCGGGGCGTTTAGTGTGGCTGGAGGCCGCAATCGGAAGCTGCGTGCCCAGTGCAGGGGTCATTCGGACGTAGCTTCTACGCGTGCGAACGAGGAGATGCAGATCTCACGTGCGATGCGCGGGCTGCACCCCAGGTCGGGGGACCCTTGCCCATGACGACCTCGACGCCAGGTCCCCTCTGTCGGCTCTCCGACGTGGTGGGGACGGTGCTGTCGAGGTCAAGCCGCACGGTGCGATGGCTCGATGCCTCGCCGTGCGGCTCATCACTTTCTTCCCGCTGAAGCGGGTCCGTACGCTCGGACTCGCCCTTCATCGCTCGCTACCTCCTCCTCCTCCTCCTCCTCCTCCTCCTCCTCCTCCTCCTCCTCCTCCTCCTCCTCCTCCCCCTCCTCCTCCTCCTCCTCCTCCTTCCTCCTCCTTCCTCCTCCTCCTCCTCCTCCACCCTCCTCCTCCTCCTCCCCTCCTCCTCCTCCTCCTCTCCTCCTCCTCCCTCCTCCTCCTCCTCCCTCCTCCTCCTCCTCTCCTCCTCCTCCTCCGCCTCCTCCTCCTCCTCCTCCTGCTCCTCCTCTCCTCTCCTCTCCTCTCCTGTCCTCTCTTCCCTCCTCCTTCTCCTCCTCCTTCTCCTCCTTCTCCTCCTCCTCCTCCTCCTCCTCCTGCTCCCTCCTCCTCCTCCTCTTCTTCCTCCTCCCCCTCCTCCTCCTCCTCTCCTCCTCCTCCTCCTCGTCCTCCTCCTCCTCCTCCTCCTCCTCCTCCCTCCTCCTCCTCCTCCTCCTCCCCTTCCTCCCCTTCCTCCCGCGCCCTTCCTCCTCCGTAGGGTCACTCCAGGGAAAAGGGCAGCAGAAGGGGCTCCTTCTCCTCCTCCCGGTGCCTCTCCTCCTCCTTCTCCTCCTCCTCCTCCTCCTTCCCCTCCCCGTCCCGGAACTTACAGTGGGACGTCACACTACCGTTCCAACATGATAGCCAAGTAGTTGCCGCCAGTCGTGCGTCGCCCCTTAGTCACAGCATCCGCGGTTGTTACGCCCATCCTGATCGCAGGGGCCATCACGCTTGAGGCTGTGCAGTCCAGCAGTATCGTCCTCCCAGACCCTCTCCCCCTCGTCAACAAGAACTCCATATGAGCACTGATCTCTCTTTGTGATTGCACATAACACTATGGTGTCCTGTTGAGGGTTTCAGGTGCACTATGATATACCCGTCGGCGGATACGCAGAGAACAAACATCAGCGCAATGGAAAGGGATGGGTGGGAGGGGTAGGATGTCTGATATGGCGCGAGTGCCCCTAGCTGAAAACGAAAACGTTTATCCTCCCTCCTCAGATCCTGTCCGACTGGACTTTTTGTTCCCACATCTTGCTTGTAGTATCGGGGTGTTCAACACTGTTTTCTGTCATGGTTCGCTTCCATTCGGAACGCTTCCGGCGTTTCAAGGTGGTGCTCCCGCTGCAGCGCTGGCTTCGTTTTGGGATCGATGGTTTGCCCTGGTCGTTCAGACTCTTGCTCTCGCCACGGCGCGGGCGACCATTCTGGATCCAGGTCTTGCCTCGTCGCTGTCGCCTCGCTCCTGTCCCCTCCTCCGCGCTCCCCCGCTCCTCCTGCGTCTCCCTCTCCCGCCGCTCCTGCGCCGGCTGCTGCCGTTCCTCCCTCGCCCTCCCTCCTCGCCTTCGTCCTCCGGTGTGCACAGGCCCCCTGCTCGTCCTCCTGTGGGCACAGGTCCCCTGCCCTGAATGCGCATGGCCGCAAGTCGGGCCTGTCCCTCTGCAGGGGGGATACTCAAAAATCGTATAAAAAATAGTCTGGGGACGATGTTTGAATATTTTTTTGCCACTTTCGAATACTTTTGGGGTACGGTTTATTTTCTCCTCGAAAATCCCCCTGTAGGGGGACACGCCCGACATAAGCAGAGCCCACAGCCCGACGGGGTCTTCTGGGGGCCCCAGGTCCGCTACGGTGCCGGTCGGCGGATGGCGAGGAGATCCGCGCAACGGGAACGGATGGGTGGGAGGGGCAGGGTGTCAGACGTGACGCGCGAGTGCACCAGTCTTGTCCTTATTCTCTATCCTCCCTCCTCCTTTTCTCCTCCTCCTCCTCCTCCTCCTCCTCCTCCTCCTCCTCCTCTCCTCCTCCTCCTTCCTTCCTCCTCCTCCTCCTCCTCCTCCTCCTCCTCCTCCTCCTCCTCCTCCTCCTCCTCCCTCTCCCTCTCGGAGCTGGGAAGCAGAGAGCGAATCGGCCGCTCTGAGCCTTGGCCGGGACCGGTCCCATCGGAGCCGCTTCGGGGAGCGTGTCATCACCACAATTACAGCCATTGCCACCACGAGCATCACCATCACCAGCATCGACGCCATCCTCTCCGCCAGCAGGTCCTCGAAAACAGCCTCACCACGAGCATCGGCATCGTCTTCCTCCCCACCCTCACCATCCCCCTCCCCCTCTCCCCCTCCCCTCCCCTCCGTTGTTTCTCTGCGGGCTGCCCCCCATAAACTAGTCCCCCTCCTTCTGGCCGAGGCCACGCGGGCCCTCCACGAGCTGCGTGGGCAGGCCGGGGCGGAGAGGGAGGACCTCGCCGCGGGCGCCGTCGCCGCCGCGGCCGTCGTCGGGGTCCCATTCCCAGACCCCCGACGTCGCGATTCTGTTCGCAACGTCCACCCCCAGAAGGAGGAGGAGGAGGAGGAGGAGGTCCTCCTCCTCCTCCTCCTCCTCCTCCTCCTCCTCCTCCTCCTCCTCCTCCTCCTCCTCATGATCCTACCTATGGTAGTGGTGGCGGGAGATAGGCACATCAGTCTGGACCCCTCCCCCGGGACCGGTTTTTCGTCTCGAGTCGTTCTCGAGGCGGCCCCGAGGCCCGGGAAGGGCCCCCGGAGGCCGAACATATAGCGGAAGACATGCCGTCGTGATGGTTTCCCAGCGCGAGGAGGTCTGGGTTCGCCGCGCTCGGAGCCTGTTTTGCGCCGTCGTGGGGCGGCCTCGCGAAAGCCAGGAGGGAGCGGGGGTCTTCTGCCCACCCTGCCTCCGGATCCGCCATTTTGGGAAATTCGTAAGTAGGGCTTGGAATTTCCGCCTTGCTTTTCAAGCCCCGCTGATGCCAATTTCCGCCCTACTTTTCTGTTGCTGTTTCCGCCCTACTTCTGTGGATTTCCGCCCTTTTCGTGTTGGGTGGAGAAATATCTGCCCTACTTGTTCGGCTTCTTATAGGTAGATTTCCGACGCAATTTTGAATTGGAAAGAACGCCAAAGTAGGCCGGATCTGGAGCAGGGCAGACGCCCTCGCGTTGTGAGAAAATCACGACGGGGGGGGGTCGTTGTTTTCTGCCTCTGGGGCCCTGAAAGGCCCTCGGGAGCGTCAAGACACGAGTCCGGATGAAAAGCCGGTCCTAGGGAAGGGGTCCAGGAGTCCAGACTTCGGGGGTCGATCGACGTTTCGACAAAAATAGCGACGCTGGGGGTCTGGGTGGGTAGCCCCACCCCCCCGCCGCAGAAGGGCCTCTCCAGAGAGCCGACGTCCTGGTAAAGAGTGTGTGGGGGGCCGTTTTGTTCGGCCTCCGACGGCCTCTCCGGGCCTCGGGGCCGCCAAGAAACGGCTCAGGACGGGCGCCAGGTAAGTGGCGACCCCCTTGCTGCGCCTGATCTCCGCTTTGCTCCGCTCTCTTGGGGGCCTCGGACACGTCATCAGGAGGAGGAGGAGGAGGAGGAGGAGGAGGAGGAGGCGGGGAGAGGAGGAGAGAGGAGGAAGAGGAGGAGGAGGTAGGGGGTAGAGGGGGAGGAGGGGGGGGGAGGAGGAGAGGAGGAGGAGGAGAAGGAGGATGAGGAGGAGGAGGAGGAGGAGGAGGGGAGGAGAGAGGAGGAGGAAGGAGGAGGAGGAGAGGAGGAGGAGGAGGGGGAGGGGGAGGGGGAGGGGGGAGGAGGAGGAGGAGGAGGCAGGAGGAAGGAGGAGGAGAGGAAAGGAGGAGGAGGAAGGAGGGATGGTAGGAGGAAGAGGAGAGGAGGAGGAGGAGGAGGAGAGGGGAGGGGAGGAGGAGGAGGAAGGAGGAGGAGGGGAGGAGAGGAGGAGGAGGAGGCAGGAGGAGAGGAGGAGAGGAGGAGGAGGAAGGAGGATGGAGGAGGAGGAAGAGGAGGAGGAAGGAGGATGGAGGAGGAGGAGGAGGACGAGGAGGCGGAGGAGGAGGAGGGGAGGGGGGGGAGGTTGGAGGAGGATGAGGAGAGTGAGGAGGATGGGAGGAGGAGGATGAGAGGGAGAGAAAAGGGAGGAGGGGGGGAGTAGAGGAGGAGAGTAGGAGGAGGAGGGATTATGAGTATGAGAGGGCTACATGAGTGAGGAGGGGAGGCGGGGACGGAGGAGGAGGAGGAGGAGGCGGAGGAGGAGGAGGATAGGAATTAGGAGGAGGAGGAGGGGGAGGGGGAGGGGGAGGAGGAGGAGAGGGATCCTCCGGAGCTGCCGGGTGTCTGGGTCAGAGGGGCCGGGGGGGCGGCTGCGCCGACCTGGAAGCAGGCGGGGGCCTCCTGGGAGGCCCCCTCGGGG